TATTTTTGTGTATAGTATGTTGAGGAGCCTAATTTTATACTTTTCTGTATGGACAGCTAGTTTTTGGAGTACTTTTTATTAAATATTCCATTTACCCACTGATACATGCCAATTCTATCATGTCAAATTCTCATATATTCTTGTTTCTAGGTTCTGTATTCTGTTCTACTTATCTATTTCAATAATATTTATGTAATAAACTTCATGTTCAAGGTGCTGCAGAGGATACAACTGTATTTTATATAGTCATTGCCATCTGTGGGTAACAACTGAGTCTGATAGTCCACCTATTTACCAGTGGGTTTAATATAATCATGTGTTACATCAATGGCACAGACAATAAAAGTTATATTCATTATATTATATTACTTAGCAAGTAATTATTGAGTCCCCAGTACTCCCAGGCATTATGCAATGGACTAGAGATACAGTGGAGGACAAGACAGATAGGATCCTTGCTGTCATAGTTTACAATGTAGCTGTAGGACCCCACAGGAGGGAAACATTTTTGGTGTGATCAAGAAAAGTTTAGGGCACCCTTTTCAAAGCATGGTCCATTGACCACAATATTAGATTCATTTACCTTATTAAAAATTCAGATTCTTGGGCCCCCACCCCAGATCTACTGAAGCTGGAACCCAGGAGTTTGTATTTTTATCTAGCATCTCAGGTTATTCTTAGGTACATTAAAGATTAAGATTTACTTGCTTAGTGGATATAACAGAATATGGTCTAGACATTTGAAGAATGATTACAGGGAAAAATACAGTGGTGTAGCCATGACCTTTATCCTTATCCTATTTAACATGTTAATCACAAAACTGAAAAAGGACACTGATGGAAAGTTAATTATATTTTTGGATGCCAAGAGTCTGGGAGGGAAAACTCACATGTTGGAAGACAGGATGGTGATGGCAAAAGATCTTGAAAGCGTAATTACAACAGTATGGAATAAGGACAATATAAAATGCTGACTTTAGTTCCAGGAAACATGACTTTAATGCATGTGAAAAAGACTTTAGTGTCCTGTAACCTTGTGTCAGCAGTGTAATTTGGTGCCACAAAATTAATTCAGTCTGG